TCATTCATTCATTCATTCATTCATTCATTCATTCATTCATTCATTCATTCATTCATTGCCTGAAACCATTTACAATTCTGGCATAGTAGAGCAAGGATAAACAAAAAGTAGCAAACAATTTTTTTTTTACTACAAGATAAATTGCAAAATTATTTTTTTTCATTCATTCATTCAATTTCTATGGCATAGAGAACAAATCCAATATATTGAAAAAAATTGAATTGAAATCTTAAACATCTAAAGAATATCTTCAAAAGCAATATCTGATTGTTTACGCTTCTACACATTACTTTTATTGTCACAGCATCAATGTGTATTAAAAGTACTTTTTGTTTCCCAAAACATAATGCTTCAAAACTAGATTCCCATTTTTATGATCATCTCCAATAACCCATTATATGAATACATCCCCCAGTCTTGTTAATTTTTAAATCATTGTTAATGTTAATCCAAATAAGAGATTCCCTATTTCTCCTGTCAAGCTCATGATAAATCAAATCTATTTCTTTTACTATTTTCCAGTTGTTATCTATTTTCCATTTCTCTTGAGACCCCTGAGATTTTTTAATTTGTGCATTATTTAGTCTTGTAGGCAGTACAGTTATCTGAATATTCTGTATTTTATCCACTTAATATTTGAATTACTCCTCAGATATAGTGCAGTTATCATTGAAGATTTAACTATTTAGTTGACACAATCTGTAAAATTCAGTTCATTGCCACCAGTCTGAAGCAAGTTCTTTGTCTGTGATACAGAGAGTCTTATCTCTTAATCTCTCTTCTGTCAGTCCCTTTCTTCCCCTGAGCTTAACAAATATTCCTCCCTGCTCTTCTCTAGGTTCCCTCACTACCTAAATTAAGGTTCCCCTTATAGCATGTGCTAAAGATTTGGTTGCTAATGCTTTCACTCTCAAATAGTTTCTTTCCCCCTAAACATCTCATGATATTTCAACTGGTTAGCAAATTATCAACTAGACTTTGTAGATGAAAAGTTCAGTGTTAAACCTGTTTTTTCACAGATATGATCAAACCTAAAGACATGTGTATGCTGCAGCAAATTAATTAAAACTGGTTATATCTTCTCCTTCTCATTTTCCCAGCTGTTCAACATGAAAGGGGACCAAGAACATCTACCATCAGGAAACAAGTAGCTCTGTATTTCAGAGGTCACAAGCAAGATAATGGAAGCACACCACACTTCTCCTCCGCAGCTCTACCTGCTCCAGCTTTCTTCACTGCTGTCACACAGCTGGAACCTCATAATCTAGAACTAGCCACCGTTTCTACAGCATCTGAAAGGCAGAATCTAGTTGGCTTAGCTCAGCCGACTCCAAAGGTTTGCTGCTTTTATTCTTCTTTATTATGGAGGAAATGCAACATTGTCCCAACAAACTCCAGACTAAAAAAAAAAAAAAAAAACAGCAAGCATTGCCCCTCTTGACAAAGACTTAAGATGTTCTTCCATTGAATATTTTGTCCTTGTGCAGTGGTGGTTTCTTTTCTCTGGGCTGTAGTGTCCTTGCTCATCTGAATAAATAAACAACAGAAATGTTTTTTATTTATTTATTTAATTTTATCCTGCCCAATTCCAAATGATTCTGGTGGTTCAAGGTATATACCAAAACAATATATCCAAAAACAACTAACTAACCAGAAGCTCCTTAACTGTCAAAGAAATATTCAATGGAAGAACATCTTAAGTCTTTGTCAAGAGGGGCAATGCTTGCTGGTTTTTTTTTTTTTTTTTTTTTTTTTTTTTTTTGTGGGGGG